TTAGTAGAGATGGGGTTTCACCGTGTTGACCAGGATGGTCTCGATCTCTTGACCTCGTGATCCACCCGCCTCGGCCTCCCAAAGTGCTGGGATTACAGGCGTGAGCCACCGCGCCCGGCCAATTTTTGTATTAGTAGAGACGGGGTTTCACCATGTTGGCCAGGCTGGTCTCTATCTCTTAACCCCGTTATCAGCCCGCGTCGGCCTACCGAAGTGCTGGGATTACAGGGGTGAACCGCCGCGCCCGGCCTCTCCCGGGTTTAACTAAAACCCTCCGACAACACAGATTGGGTTGCCCGCCTCACGTCAAGCACCCCTGCGGGTACCACTGCCTCTCGGTTGTCAGTGGATACTTGCATTTAACGCGGACCTTCTTCCCCAGACGGTCGTTGCAAACAACCTCGATCATCCTAGCTGGAGCTACACAGGAGCGCGGGGGTGGGAGGCAGCAGAGTCAGAGTTTCAGGGATCTCCCAGGCCAAGAAGCACCAGCTTACAAGTCTCCCAATCCCAGGCCCTAAAAATCCCTATTACTGAGCCTTCCATTCTGTCCCCAATCCCCCGGACTCAAATACTCCCAGGCCCCAAATCCCGCGTCCCAAGACCGCGAACCCCAGGCAGCCGCGCCTTCGCTCCTTCTCGCCGCCAGAAGGCCCGGCCACAAAACTCCATGGCCTCACCTGCCACTGACCCCAGACCCTTGGTGGCGGGGTCGCAACAGCTTTCCCCGACTCTGGGCCTCTCCGCTTTACCCCCCTCACCTCGAATCGCCTCGAACCTGCCGACGCCACTAGCACCTAGTCCGAGTGTTGAGCCCCGGCCGCAGTTAACGCTGGAAACCGGAAGCGGAAGTAAAAGCGCGGAGCCGGAAGCCCCGCCCCTGGCCAGGGGGTGTGGTCAACACTGGGTCGAGCTTTTCCGTGTTTGCTGTAGGTAGTGTGCTTGCGGTTGCTAGGTACGGTTTCGGTGTCCCAAGCACGGCTTGGCAGGGGGACGCCTGTGGTAGGCGCACGGGATAGAACCAGGGGCTTCGGCGGATGTGGGGACGGGGAAGGGGTGTGGAGCGAGAGCCAGAGGTCGGTGCCGGCTCCCAGCTCGTTTGAAGCCATTGTTCATTGCGAGGAGATTCGGTCGCATGGTGAGGACGCCAGAGGGTCCCGGGCTTCGGGGTGAGCTCCTCCTGATCCTGAGCCCGAAGCCTCTTGCTGCAGCTACGAGGAGCGAGGGCAGAGGGTGGGAGATGCGAGTCCTGCAGTTATCCCTTCTGACCCCTTGGGTTCATTCAGAGCTGGGCCTCGTGAGCATTTTGCTCACCTCTGCCCTTTGGCCATCGCGTCCCTCGGGGATGTGTACTCCAGTCAGTAGGCGAAGCCTGATCCTGGACAAGACTCCACGCTGCCCAACAGCTGCTGTTACGTCCTGGTGCCTCACAGTTCCAGGCTCTTGGTGTCCTGAACAAGATTTGGACGAGACGCACAGAGATAGCAAAGCAGCAACCTTAGTAAGCACAGTATTCCAGTAGAAGTGGGAGAGCAGACTGACCTCTGCAAGATGAGATCACCCCCAGCTTGGTGTAGCTTGGTTCTTTTTATGTGTTTTTTTTTTCCTTCTCTTCCCTAGGCTGCATAATCTCTAGCCAGTGTCTACCTTTTTGATTGATAGATGTGTTGCTTAGTTACTTTGGCCTCTGTGCGCTTGAGGGCCGCCTCCTTGCGTTAATTTTAAGTTCTTGCTTCTTGCGTGATATACCCTCCATATGCATGAGCGCTAATGAGCTGATTATCATCCTTATGTTAAGGGTACTTTTTGTCTTTAATGCACTTACCTATCCCTGAAGAGCTGCCCCTTACTGCTTTGGTCTGGATTTTGCCGACCGTGGGATCCTTGCTCAGTTTTGTTTTTGTTTTTGTTTTTGTTTTTGTTTTTTGAGACGGAGTTTCACTCATGTTACCCAGGCTGGAGTGCAATGGCGCGATCTCGGCTCACCGCATCCTCCGCCTCCTGGGTTCAGGCAATTCTCCTGCCTCAGCCTCCTGAGTAGCTGGGATTACAGGCACGCACCACCATGCCCAGCTAATTTTTTGTATTTTTTAGTAGAGACGGGGTTTCACCATGTTGACCAGGATGGTCTCGATCTCTTGACCTCGTGATCCACCCGCCTCGGCCTCCCAAAGTGCTGGGATTACAGGCTTGAGCCACCGCGCCCGGCCCCTTGCTCAGTTTTTTATTTTCCTTTGTTTTGGCTGCTCTGCTTCTGCCTTTTATCTTCCTTCTTGCTCACCCACCCCTTCACCTTGCTTCTGCTCTCTACTTATTTTGACCTTTATCCAGCTTTTAATTCCCTTTGCTATTCTTCTGCCTTATTTTCCCTATTCTCGTGCCTCACTACCAGTCACCAACCTTAAATACCCGCGAGGAAGCTGGAAACTTTGCACAATTACACAATCTCCTGCATCTATATCTTCAGGGAGCACTTTGTACCAGATTCTGGGTTCGTGAGGGCCGGTGGGGCAAAGACACTCTTCCCTCAATTCAGTCAAACAATTCATAAGCCAAAAAGTATCTGAAACAGGTCTCAGTAAATTGAGAGGTTTATGTAGACAAGGTTAAGGACATGCCTGGAAAAAAGGAACACAAAACCCCAGGAACAATCTTCGATCCATGCTTTTTTCCAAATATGATTTTGAGGGCTTCAGTATTTAAAGGAGAAAAGAGGGCTGGAGGGGAAAGAGGGAGAGTATAGTCACAGTACTGAATCCACATGAAGAATAGTCCATTCTGTATTCAGCTGGCACTCAGTAAATCCGCACTTTCCATAACATAAAGTAACCATACAGTAGCTACCTGTGGCGATATCTGGCCTTTAAAAAAACATTTTTTTTTTTTTGAGACGGAGTCTCACTCTGTCATCCAGGCTCAAGTGCAGTGGCGCTATCTCAGCTCACGGCAACCTCCGCCTCCTCAGTTCAAGAGATTTTCCTGCCTCAACCTCCTGAGTAGCTGGGATTACAGGTGCTCGCCACACGCCTGACTAATTTGTGTGTGTGTGTGTGTGTGTGTTTGACAGAGTTTTGCTGTCACCCAGGCTGGAGTACATTGGCAGGTTCTCGTCTCACTGAAACCTCCGCTTCCTGGGTTCAAGCGATTCTTCTGCCTCAGCCTCTCTGAGTAGCTGGAATTACAGGCATGCACTACGACACCCAGCTAATTTTTGTATTTTTAGTAGAAATGGGGTTTCACCATATTGGCCAGGCTGGTTTCAAACTCCTGACCTTGTGAGCCGCCCTCCTTGGCCTCCCAAAGTGCTGGGATTACAGGCGTGAGCCACCACCCCCAGCTTAATTTTTATATTTTTTTTAGTAGAGACAAGGTTTCACCATGTTGGCCAGGCTGATCTCCAACTCCTGACCTCAGATGTTGTACCCATCTCAGCCTCCCAAAGTGTTGGGATTACAGGAGTGAGCAACTGTACCCAGCCAAAAAAATTTTTTTGACAGAGTCTCGCTCTTGCCCAGAATGTGCAGTGGCGTGATATAAGTTCACTGCAACCTCCACCTCCCAGGTTCAAGGGGTTCTCCTGCCTCAGCCTCCTAAGTAGCTGGGATTACAGGCACGTGCCACCACACCTAGGTAATTTTTGTATTTTTAGTAGAGATGGGGTTTTAACATGTTGTCCAGGCTGGTCTCAAACTCCTGACCTCAAGTGATTCTCCTGACTCAGCCTTCCAATGTGCTGGGATTACAGGCATGAGCCACCCTCACCTATTATTTGCTTTTGAATGGCAGGATCCAGAAACTAAAACCTTTTAGTATTGTTGAGGTATACTGCTACAGTGGTTTAAGAATTCTCCAACCCTCCCCCCTCTTCCCTCACCCCACTCCGGCCAGGCGCAGTGGCTCACGCCTGTAATCCTAGCACTTTGGGAGGCTGAGGCAGGTAGATCACCTGAAGTCAGGAATTCAAGACCAGCTTGGACAACATGGTGAAACCCTGTCTCTAGTAAAAATACAAAAATTCAGCAAAGCACGGTGGCTCACAACTGTAATCCCAGCACTTTGGAAGGCTGAGGCGCGTGGATAAGTCCGAAGACCATCCTGGTCAACATGGTGAAACCCCGTCTCTACTAAAAATACAAAAATCAGCTGGGCGTGGTGGCGCGTGCCTGCAATCCCAGCTACTCAGGAGGCTGAGGCAGGAGAATTGCCTGAACCCAGGAGGTGGAGGTTGCGGTGAGCCGAGATCGCGCCATTGCACTCCAGCCTGGGTAACAAGAGCGAAACTCCGTCTCAAAAAAAAAAAAAAAAGCCACACATAGTGGCATGTACCCATAAGTCCAGCTACTTGGGAGGCTGAGGTGTAAGAATCTCTTGAACCCGGGAGGTGGAGATTACAGTGAGCTGAGATCCCACCCCTGCACTCCAACCTGGGTGACAGAGTGTGACTCTGGCCTCAAAAAAACAAAACCCTAGGTCATCACACCCCTCTGCTCCAGGAGGTAGAGAACTGGGTTTTTAGCCTATTCTGGATACCTTCTGGAAGTTAGGGCTACCTGTATTACTAGTTATTCTTGGAATCTACCTTGGGGTTAAGCTAAACAATTTGTAACAAGTGCCCTTAATCCTGCCTCCCCCTAGAAAAGGGACCTAAACATTACACACTCCATCATGTCAATCTTTTTCATTCCACAATTCCCAGTCAATGCCTCCATCGAGCAGGAAGTAACCAGACTGGAGTCAGCACCCCATTTTCCCTAGAAATGGAATGAAAAATCGACAGTGAGGAAATCTGTAATTGAAAATGTTAGTCCATGTTGAGAAACAATCACTCTCTTCTGTTTTTCTTTTCTTTTCTTTCTTTTTTTTCTTTTTTTTGGGTGGAGTTTTGCTCTTGTTGCCCAGGCTGGAGTGCAATGGTGCGATCTCGGCTCACTGCAACCTCTGCCCCCTGGGTTCAAGCAACTCTCATGCCTCAGCCATCCCAGTAGCTGGGATTACAGGTATGTGCTACCATGCCCAGCAAATTTTGTATTTTTGGTAGAGATGAGATTTCTCCATGTTGGTCAGGCTGGTCTCAAAGTCCCAACCTCAGGTGATCTGCCAGCCTCGACCTCCCAAAATATTTTTTGTATTTTAGTAGAGACAAGGTTTTACTGTGTTGCCCAGGCTGCTCTCAAACTCCTGAGCTCAGGTAATCCTCCTGCCTCAGCCTCCCAAAGTGCCAGGGTTACAGGCATGAGCCACTGCGCCCAACCTCTCTTCTGTTTTTTTATGCTAAGCTCTCATAATGCTTAACCTGTGTACTTTGCTTAAGAATTCCAGAAACTGGCCTTGAAAATCTAAATATAGGCTGGGCATGGTGGCTCACACCTGTAATTCTGGCACTTTGGGAGGCTGAGGCAGGATGATTACCTGAGCTCAGGAGTTTGAGACCAGCCTGGGCAACACAGTGAAACCTCATCTCTACTAAAATACAAAAAATTAGCTGAGTGTGGTGGTGTGTGCTTGTAGTCCCAACTACTTGGGAGGCTGAGGCAGGAGAATTGCTTGAACCTAGGAGGCAGAGTTTGCAGTGAGCCCAGATCACGCCACCGTACTCCCGCCTGGGCAACAGAGCGAGACTCCATCTCCAAAAAAAAAAAAAAACCAACAGCAACAAAAAAGATCTAAATATAGGACCAAGGTTGTAGAACGTCCCATCCCAGGGAAAGATTCCACATTCCCGTTTTGGTCAAGCTGACACCCACCAGACAAGCAGGTGGCCCATTACTTAAAATAGTAATGGAAACCAGACATGCTGACCTGTGCATCTAAACTCCATGTCCTGACCCCCTAGCCACAGCTGTAAGCT